CTTGGAATCATTCTTGAATTGTAACAATACTTTGCAAGAAGTGGAACACATGACATAACTGCTAAGAAACAGTGAAGCAGCACAGTACGCAACATTATTGTGTGTACCTTTAATAAAAACTGACTGGACCGCGATAAAAATTAGATTGTTAAGTTCCATATGCATGCCAATCTGACCCTGAAGCCTATAGATGAAAGTGGCTGGAATGGAAAAAAAAAACACAAAAACGTGTTGTGATGATCGATCACACCGAGAAAAGTGAGAAAATGCTAACTTATAGAGGCCGACTGATAAGGCAGATATTGATTTTTAAATAATGTTGTTGCCGATGGCCGATATCTAAAGCGGATTATTAGGCCGATATATTTACGTTTTAGCAGCACATTGATTGTGAAAGACAACTGAACATTCACTGTGCTATATGAATTAAATAAGTCAATAAATATCTTAATATTTATTGAACTTCAAATATAAAACAAACTCAAAACATTAAAAAAACTGTGTTGGGGTCCTTTATTCAGTCTAGTGGTGGTGGCAGTTGGCCACACAGCTGCCTGATTTATTTATTTATTTAAATTAGCTTTCAAAAATAATTTCGGCCGATATTGAAAAAATTGAATAGCTCGGCCCGATATATAAACAAAAAAAAATTATATATCGGTCGGCCTCTAGTTTAAAAATCACATAAAAATTGAGAACCTCAGGAAACATGTTGACAGGCTTTATTATTGTGGAAAAAAATGTTTACTATAATGTTATTATAATGGAAACTCCACTGCTAATCAAAATTGTCTCCAACATCAGTTTAAACAAGACAAACTTTCCACACTTACATCAGTTGTTCAAAAGTGAAGTCACCATGTTGTATTTTTAGAACCGGAGTCTGCAGACCGTGTAATATTATGGGTGGATATCAAATTTAAACTAGCTTATTAACAACTTTTTGATTCAACTTTTTGTTTTAAAACAGTAAACTAAAGGAATTACCCCATAACTTCCACTAAACATTAAAAATTTGAATTTACTGCAGAATGTGGAAAGTTGTGAAATTTAAGATTACGCGGACATTTGAGAATTTTGAGAATTTTGAGAATTCCAAAACGATCTGTGTTTTTCCACACTTTAAGTTATAATAAAGAGAGACCACTGCAATGTTTTACGAATGTGAGTTGAGGTGAAGAGGTCCGCTGCAGGTAATTCAGAAACGTAACGCTAAACACAAAATCTATGGCAGCACAGTGTCTTTAATGTGGAATTTTCAGGGAACAAGTTCTCAGCAAGTTTTGTTGGCTCACGAGTGATCATCGCCACAAGAAAATGTGTTGATCTGAATAAGTCTCATCAGCATAAAGAAGAACTGAGATAACAACAACACTGAGTTAATTAAAGACTTGTCCAGACTTGTTTATTAAAAATGTCCAACAATAAAAATAAACAAAAAAGGTCTGAATGAATAAACATCCTCCCAAAATTATATTAGCGTCATTTAAATGTCGTCCAGGTCACTCCAATTTAGAGAAGCTAAAAGCTCAACTATAGAGGGAATGTTTGTTATTTTACAGTTTAATTGGACTCTTTTAAAACTAGAATTTAGGGAAAAAAGAAATGAAAATTTTGAAGTTTTTTTTTATTAATTTTTTTGTGTAATAGGGTTGAGTCTAACTGGCCCTTTCTACTGGACGCGTAAGTGTCGCCTAACATCCATGAAGCGTAGCGCACAGCAGTTTGCCACTGTTATAGTGGATGGGTGCATTTCCACCAGCCGCAGCAAAGCGTTCTGGACGCTTCTCAAAGTGGTGCATCACTCTGCTAAATTTATGCTTTGAGTCTGTGTTTTATGCTTTACGGTTCCAAAATGCATCAGTCTCAGCAGTTCAGATCGAGCCAGACAGGAAGTCAAGCATAGGAGCAGTGTACATCATCTGTAAATTTTCAAAATAAAAGTCACGTACAGATTATCAGTGGTTTAACAAGTAAAACAAAACAAAAAAAGGGGTACTTCATTACCCGTGAAACCTCCATGTCAAAGGTGAACCGAATAGAAAATACATCACAGACCTTTTTCCTGCCATCTTTCTTCTTGCCCCAACTGCCGAAATCACGTTTGATCTTCTCCAGTGATTTCGTGACCTAGCGAGACTAGCTGCATGAAGTGTTTTCACTGCCGTTTCCCCAGCGTGAAGGGACACACCACTGAGCTCACAGGTAAAATGCATATTTTACGTCATGCATTATGCGCCTGCTCGTGCATCCAGTAGAATATATTAATGTAAAAACAGAGTATTTGTGACTTATATTGAAGGTTTTTGTTGGAAACAACTAGACTTTTCTTGTTTTCTTTGAAGACATTTCATCTCTCATCCAAGAAGCTTTTTAAGTTTCCAACTAAACCTTTTAGATCCTCAGTCATCCAGGGGGTGATGACTGAGGATCTACACAAACATATTTGTGACTTATGTAAAATGGGTGAGCTCAGGTTTAACATCAGTTAGTTTTAGTGTTTTGTCGAAGTAAATAGAGGCTAACTGATGTATTAAATTTTTTCTATATCGGCCAAAATTATTGTAAAAAGCCGATAAAGTAAATAAATGAATCAGGCACCTGTGTAGCCAACTGTCGCCACTACTAGACTGAAGAAAGGACCGGAAGGATGCCAACACACTGCATCTTTTTAAATGTTTTTAGTTTGTTTTGTATTTGAAGTTCAATAAATATTACGAGATTTATTGACGTCTGATTTCATTTATAGCACACAGTAAGTGGTCAGTTGTCTTTCACAATCAATATGCTGCTAAAACGTATTTATATCAGCCATAATAATCGACTTTAGATATCGGCCATCTGCAACAAAATTCTTTCAAAAAATCGGTATCGGCCTTACAAAAATCCCATATCGGTCGGCCTCTAGAAGTAAATGCACTATACATACATTGGGCCATGTGGTTGAGCGGGTAATAAATAGCTACGAGTGTTTCTTTATTGCACATAATCACCAAACATAAGAGACTTACGTGTAGATGAACCAAAATGAAGATAAAAACAGAACTTGGCTTCTTAACTTCCCTGAAAACTGATTAACAACAGCCTTTAAAGTCACCAATCCTTAAACAATGATGATAAATCCAACAAAGAAGAGGCTTGAATCACGTAATCCGGCACAGACAAGTGGGTCAGTATGTCCGCTGTGCAAATGGCCAATGAGCTCAGGAGCCTAAAGACTCCACTTCTGCTGAGACACACAAACACTTGACCACTTTAGCCAAGGGAATCTGACCACTTTCTGAGGTTTCCAGCAATTTGTAGGTCACAAAGCTCTCTTTGACCGCTGGTGTAGAGTGTAAGTCACCGCCACTCGCAGGTCAGCATGGCCCACACACGCAGCAGTCACCTACACGGCACACCCAGACATTACCCAACGCTGAACGTTTCTATGCCTGCAACTTTTACAGCCCACCAATCTCACTTAAACACCTCTAGGTATAAACTGATTTCAGGAATTTCTGGTGAAGGCTCACGGGAAGCTTTAGGAAACAGCAAAATCTCAATGCCGGTCTCCCAGCAGGATTACAGGCTTGTCCAATACATGCACATCCTTAAAAGTAGAGTTTCAGGAAATGTTTAAAGACTCGGCTCTTTATGATAGGAGGATCATACTGCAGATGCCCCCACCCCTCCCAACTCTCATGAGGCCTTCAATGAAATTTTTATGTGTGGTGATGTGTGTTATTTTTTGTGTGTGTGTGGTTGCTAAAGGGGCTGCTCGTGCATGCACCTAGCCCGCTGCATTATTAAAAGGCCAGCTCATTGAAAAGAAGTTTGAAGAAGAGAGATTCGCTTTCAGAAGAACACGACATGACATATAAGTATGAGAAAGCAAGGTTAACAAGTTTGAGTGAAAAAAGTTTAGCTCTCTTCATACCATGTTGGTGCCCTTTGACCTCATTCTCAGATGTGGGGGGGCTTCACATCCATCCACTGGGAGGGAAATTTCCCATCAGTACACCTGACATCCTGCCTGAGGCTCCTGACAAAACCCCTTCTTTAAACATGGATGAGTCTGCCCACCATATCCCCCTCTCCTCTCCTTTCTCCTCTGTCTCTCAACTCTGACGCAAAGCTGAGAGCAGCTGCTTCGGTCCGTCTCAATAATTTAGCACCGGAGTGAGGGATGAGGACTGAGACGGAAAGCAGAACATTTATGGAATAAAGGAGTAAATGAGGTAACAGAGGGGCGTGTGCGCCTGTTGATCTGGACGCAAACATTTAGGTTAGGCTGTCAGACTCGTCGTTTGAGCCGCTGAACAATGTAAACACGCAGAATGAGAAGAAAGTTCAACACGGACTGAGCTCGCTCGAGGAGAAGCGCGCGCGTGCGGCTCCCCTCCCCAGATGCACGGATGTTTGTGGAAATGAATATTTCAGCTCGGTCTGGGAGCCGTGTGGCACGTCTCTCCAGAGCGAACAACAGGCAGACAGGAGAGGAGCGACGTGCTGCTGCAAGACAAAGGAGCCGCAAAAGTTACGGAGCGCGGCGTGGACGCGACAGCCCGCAAAGATCCACGGGAACACCTCCGTTTGCAACAAAGCCCCTTCAAACAGCTGCATCCTATTTTTACCGGCTGATAAAGCTCCACAACACGCACACATCAGAGCCAGCCACAAAGCAGTGTTCCACATGTAGGATCCCCACCAATGCTCCTCGCAGCAGCACGTAAATAAACCCCAGAAAACCCTCCAAAGGTGCTGCAACTTTAAGGAGCAGAAGAGTGAGACTAGCTGTGCTAGTAGTAGCTGCTTTGGCTAACTCAGCAGCCATGCCTGGTAAGTTGGAGGATGCAAAAGAAGACACAAAGTGGTTAACACAACCCATAAACTACCACGGCTGCACTTCTAGGTGCTCGGTGTGTTGATGGTAACATTGAGAAGCTAACTCTTAGAGTGGTTGAACTGCTTCACATCACTGGAGTTATTCTGTAGTGACACTGCGATAATTTACTCACTTTTCTCTTGCTTGGCTATCGGAGGGGACCACAGCTCCTTTGCCCTTTCCGTACATCTTGGAAGCTGTTGTGATACTTTGTTTTATCCCACTCGACACCTGTCAAAGAAAGCAACCAGGAAAACCTACTATCTCCATAGCTACCCAGTTAGTGTTGCCTCCCTGTCTCTCTCCTGCGCTCTCCTCTCTTTGCTCCGGTTTCCTTTTTTTCTACATCCCCAACATTGCCCACAAATCAGGCAGGGTTTCAGTCGGGGGGAACTTGAAACTGTCCAGTGGTGGAGTTTTTTTTTTTCAATCGCTGTTCCTGGATTCCGGTCACACTCCCCCCGTTATGGGACGGTGGGGGCTTCTTAAAGAGACAGTGTCTCCATGTTTTGCAAACTTCGCTCAAGTTCATGTTTCTTTAGGAGACCTTCAAGTTCAGGGCTTATGTTGCATTCTTCTTCCCTAAAAAAAAATTAGTTATTGAATAATGCAATTATGAATATTATTCCTAAATTTTAACATACTTAATTGCATCAAATATGTATTATTTGTTGTCATTTATCCCTGTTGTTGCATCTTTGTATCCGAAAAGTGAAGTCAATCAAAGAAACCTTTCTTACAGTGACCCCTTTATACTAATAATGCATAACCTTATCTTCAACAAGACAAAAAAGGAAAGGTCTCACTGCTTGTACCTCATGCAGACTGATTGGTACTATTACATTACCTAACTCCGTTATCTAACCACAAATAGGAGGCCATATATAATTTTATTTCATTTTATTTATTTTTTTGTCATTTATGTGATAAATTGTTCACAAACTAGGTCTAGTTGACAATCAAAGCTCCAAACAGAGCTTATTTTAATATTTTTTGTGTTGTGGGCTCTCAATTATTTCAATAAAAGTTATTATATTTTAATTGCATATTACTCAGTAATTTGGGTAACTTTGTATAGTTTTTTTTAATGTTTTATATACTTTTCCAGTAGATTAAACCACCATCCTCCCTTTGTGTTTCTAATTTAATTGTAAGGTCTGCTCTAAAAGTGAAGGAGGAGGTTTTTTACACCTCCGGGTAAGTAGAAACAGAATAAACATCCTTGTTGACTTGTTAATATTTAATAAAATCTCCTATGTTTGATTTTCTTTGTGGTTCAAAAGCATTACAGCTTAATCTGATTTGGATTGTGAAAGTCTCACTATTTAACACTATGCAACCTTTAATTTTACCTTGCTAAAAAAGACCTAATGGAAAAAAACATACCACTAAAAGTATTGTATCAAAACATTTATTAGCACAACAATTATTTTCAAAAATGTTTTAGAAATCTGACATTTAATACTTTCTTTCAGTTAAACATGGAAACATCATCTCTGTGAATAATAATGGGTTCAAGTTCCACAGAATAAAATGTTATAATGCAAGACGCCAAATGTGTGAACACAAGCCCAAATAACCAAACTGAGCCAACATTTAACAACACATTTATTCTTTTTCAGTGCACAATTTTTGACCAATTTGATTTTATGATCATTCAAATATATTAATATGAGTCTAATCATGCAAGCTAATAATCTAATGACCAGAGTTTGGTGTGCATAATGCGATATTAGGAGACGTCATCTCAACAATTCCTATGAATAATACTTTACTTTTGTAGATATAATCCATTAATGATGTATGTTCTAAACACTGAAGCAGCTCATGAACATATTCATGTCCAGGGCCGATGGTGGCTCCTGATGGTGAAGTATAATCCTGCGGCATGTCCCTTTAAGAGAGTGTAGAGAGCATTTTGCAGAGTTTGTGTGCACACATGTGTGTGTATATATGTGTGTAAGGCAGGGACAGGCAGTGTGTTCTGTTTTTGTGCTACGAGCTGTGGGAAGGGCACAGATGACTGCGTGCGTGTTTGTGTCCATGCACGTCAGGTTGTGTGTGTGCGTGCCTGCATGCATGTGTGTATGTGCCAGTTTGTGTGTGTGCTTGAACATGTATTTCTGCGTATGTGAGAGAGCGACAGAGGAAGAGAACGTGTTCCTGTATGTGCGCTAAGGCCTCCTTTTTTACATGAGGACACAAACACCTGCTCTGATGAGCAGAGATTTTATAAAAGAATAGAGGAGCAAAGAAAGGACAGCAAACACACAAAGAAAAGTGGTAAAGAGCATCATTTCATTGGACTAAAATCTTCCCTTCTTCACGGGTTTATGTAACATATAGAAACACGAATACACTGAATGATGCAACAGGGATAAGTGATAAATTGTTAAACGTAAAAAACAAACAAAATTGTATAGAAATTCCCTCATATCCAGAACAGAGTTGCAATAAATCATAGACTATCTTGAAGTTCAATCATTTTATAATTTGAATTAAAGCTAATGTGTTTGGTTTTTAATTGCATTTGAAAACACAAAAATATATGACCACAGTAACATTTATTAATAATCACAATCTTTCCACTTTTGCACCTACTTCCTGCCAAAACATTGTTTGCACCCACAGCGTTTTATTTTTTCATTGTTATTCATACTTTCACCTACCTTTACATTTAAAAGATCCCTAAATAGACCAAATATAAGCTATCATATGTAAATATAATAAAAACACAAGAACCATGTTTATATTTGTAAATAATTGAATCTGCCCTATTCTCATTGGAATAATGAGCCAGGGTTTAATTTGTCTATTCCAAAAATCACGTTAAACTACTGCACTGTTCACCAGCCCATTTTCATAAAATGTTTTGTATAAATTTCAAAATATTTTACTGGTATTTTTTGCACACCCTTGCAGAACACCTTCTTTAAAAGGATGCCTACATTATTTTTTAGAGTATTTTTAAAATGCATTTTAAAATATTTTGTAAAATATTTCATTCGATTATGTTTCCCTGACTTGTATGTAAAATATGCAAATTATCTGGTTTTATGAACCTTTGATCATCATCAAATACAGACATTATTAGTGCAGATACTGAAACAAAGAGAAGGAAAGTGATAGTACAGGCATCTAACAGGATGTGGACCACAAACTCTGTCAGTGTCGTATCATAGCTCCAGTATTGATCCAAAAACCCAGTGATTCTATGGAACAACATCCAACTCTTCCTTTTATCTGCACGGAGCAAATGAACAGCAAAAGGGAGTCTTTTCCATTTATGGTCCCTTTATTTTATTAAACACAAATTTTATTTTTGTATTTAGTGTACTTCTATAACACAGTTCAGGTTCACACACACTTACACACATATATGTATATATATATATATATATATATATATATATATATATATATATATATATATATATATATATATATATATATATATATATATATATATATATATATATATATATATATATATATATATTTATTTTATTGAGCATGCTATGAAGGAAGTGGTCATGTGTACCTATTGTTCTCTAAAACACCTTCAACACTTGCAGATACACATGCGTGCACAAAACCTCAGCAACACCTGAAACAACAACACATTCTCACTCCCAGCACGTCAAAAACAAACGCTTGGTCAGACCCCTGATGCCAAAAGTGCCCTTTTTTGTTACTTATGTGCGAAAAGTGGGTTTTCCCTTTCGTAACTGCAGATCCCAGTGCAGCGTAAAACTGACGTGATGAGATGTCCGCTGATGCGGCACCAAACCAGTTCATTTAACCGCACCTAAACCTTAATGTTTCACTATTTATAACCTTCCCCTCTCCCTCATCCTAACCTTAACCCTCTTGCTACCTAAAACGTTACTCTCACTGTGATCAAGCGTTTGTTTCCCATGCATTCTGACTAGTGATGTGTCGTCGCTAACGAGCCGGCTCTAAGAACCGGCTCTTTGAAGTGAACGACGTGAGCCGGCTCGTCATTGGGAGCCGTCCCCTCCCCTCCCCCCCTCCCCTCTTGCTTTGGTGAACGCTACAGGCGATTGGTCAACATGTGTAACTGCGTGTCCAGACTGTCCACACTCAGAGCAGTAGGGGCGGGGAAGAGGGAGGATCAGACTCAGACACACTGCAGAGCACATGTGGGTGGAGGGAGACGAGAGGGAATGAGGAGGAGGAAAAAGGCGAGCGAGAGAGAGAGAGGAGAGTGTGACGAAGACGTGAGAAAATGAGCGCCAGCAGTCGGAAAGTGGAGATTTCTTAAAGTGTTCAGTTATTAAATCCATATAAATGATAAATTTTTGATATATTGCATTTGTTTACATTAGTAAATCATTTTACATATAGTTTTAAATTATTTTGGTTATAAATGTACTCTACGCAACAGAAAATCTGAGGAGCCACTTGGGAGCCAAAAGAGCCGTCTCTTTTTGGTGAGCTGAGCCAAAAGAACCGGCTCTCTAAAAAGAGCCGGAATTCCCATCACTAATTCTGACTGTGAATTTTCGTGTTTGCCGCCCAAGGGGAAGGTTAGAACATACAATCTGGCGAGGGGGAGGTTACAAATACCCTCTACTTTTAACCTCCACCGTGGTAGTTGAAACCTCCCCCTCGCGTTGGCTCGGTCCAAACTCGACCAATGACGAGGCGGCTCCCGCCATTCACTTCATAGAGCCGGCTTTTGGAGCGATCGACACATCACTAACGTGTTCGCTAGCAAGATGGTTAAGTTAGGATAGGGGTGAGGGGAAGGTTAAATAACAAGAGGATAAGGTTAGGGTGAGGTACAATGAGCTTGTTTGGTGCCCTGGCTGCGGACATCCCATCGCATCAGTTTTACGCTGCATTGGGATGCAACGGTAGCGGATGTCCCATCATGTCAGTTTTACGCTGCATTGGGATCTGCAGTCAAATAAGGGTAAAACCCCTTTTCGCACATGAGAAACGAAAAAGGGCACTTTTGGCGTCAGGTGTCTGACGTGGAGGGTGGCTGACCAAGCGTTTGTTTTTGACTCGCTGGGAGTGAGAATGTGTTGGAAACAATCATTAATTTACATCATAAACATATGAACAATCGCTGACTTTTCCATTAAATCATAAACACATACAGCCACACACAAAACCATCTATAGTGTTGCAAGGTTAGCTAACGTTAGTGTTAGCATTTCCAGCGGCAACAGGGATTGGCTCTATTCATTCATATATATGTATATATATATATATATATATATATAAATGGTAAATGGCCTGTATTTGATATAGCGCCTTCTAGAGTCCTAGAACCCCCCAAGGCGCTTTACAACACAATCAGTCATTCACCCATTCACACACACATTCACACACTGGTGGTGATGAACTACGATGTAGCCACAGCTGCCCTGGGGCGCACTGACAGAGGCGAGGCTGCCGAGCACTGGCGCC